TCTCCAGATATCTGTTGTGCCCTGGATGCTACTGGAGTTGTGGGGAGGTCCCTCAAAATTATTTGAACATCCAACACTCATGATACTATTGAGATGTGAATAAAGGAACCATTCCAAGTAGGGTGCTTTTCACCAAGAGACCTACACCTTACAATCAAAGGTTGCTCCCTCAATCACGGATTTCAGAAACAGTAGAAACCTCTCTCAAAAATTTTGCTCTTTTGTGCTGACTGATGTTGGTGCATTTTGCTTCTGCAAGCATTCTCGATCGCACCCATTCCATCAAGTAACTTTGAGGCCAAAGGGACAGCTGAAGAAAGTCCACAACGTCCACAATTCTGAACCTACTTATACATGCACAGGTTTACTCCCGAGTAAATACAAAGAACAAGATCCACTTTTACTACCCTACCCGCTCTCGCATCCAAAGAGGACATTCAAATTCACCTCATCCGAGTCCACCCACAAACGTTAGGTGGGATTTCCTCCATCGCTCCGATCAGCCGGACTCACCGCGCTTATTCTTGGTGCCGTGTTTGCGGGCCGCCAACAGCTCCTGCTCGATCTTCTCTTCCAGGAACTCCTGTTTTTTACTCAGCATGTCCTCGGTCTCTTTAAGCTTCTGGATGGCCTCCTGGGGAGAAGGCCCCTTCCCGCCGCCTTTCTCCCCCGGGCCGATCCCGAACAACTTCCCCAGCAGCCCGGACATGGCTGGACCTCGCGCGAGGAGAGTGACCGACCGAGAACCCCAGCCCGGAGGAAGTAAGGAAAACGGGGAGGGGAAGGGGGCTCTCTAGAAGATGCTGTGGTTGCTCCCGAGGTGCTAAGGAGGACGTGGCGGCGAAAGGTGATCCCTGCGGTCCCCTCCCGTCCTCGAACCGTCAAGCGGGTTAGTTGGCCGCACAGGCCAAAGGCCCGAAACTGACCGCTCTCTTAGACCAGCCCTCGGCAGCAGCCCCAAGCAACCCCCGACTGACTCACGGCCCGTCGTAGAACTGCTCCCGATCCTATACGTCACTCATACAGCTATGGCAACAGCGGTAACCCCGCCCACCTCCGTCTTCCCCCTCGGCTCAGTGGGTGTAAAATAACCAGCAAAGTCTGCCGGGAGTTGTAGTGTTGTTTGAGAAGGGACGCTGTTGCGTAAATGTGCTTAGACACACAATATTATTCTTGTTTCGTCAGTTCCTGAATCGTTGTAATAGTTTCATCCATAAAAATCATTGATTAGTTGCCTTGTTTTTATGTATAAATTTTGAAACTCCCAATTCATGCAGCATCCAGATATCACAACATAAATAACGTGTTTCAAAGAGTTTTTTTTAAAGGTGTTTGTTTAAAAGACTTTTGTCGTTTTGTCTGACACTTGAATGCTATATTAAAAAGAAAGAAAAGAAAACTGATGCTCCTGGTGGTTATGTTTTAGTGCCCTTGCTTGCTGTGCATCTTTTCTAGACTATTTCATTGGTTTTAATGCAAGGGTTTCAAAACATGCCGTCTGCCCATTTCATTTGACTATCACATGACTTATTAGAATATGGAATCTTTTAAATCGTTTAGCCTTGAATCAACAAAGGGCCGTTTTGTTGGTATGCTCTAATATTCTGCCATCAACTCTGCTTCAGACTTAGAGATCCAGATTATCTGCATTGAATTTACATTACTGATAGTTCAGTTGAAATGAAAAATGATAATCCGCTGACTAATGTGTAACACTTTATCCATTGATATCTATTCTGTGTAAATCTATCAGGAAGTTCTGATTAATATTATGCATATTTTTCATGTATGTATGTTTTTTGTCCTGTCAAACCATAGGTCAGGGGAAAGTTAGCTAGGTTTAAACTATTCCTTCTACCCAGTGCTTTTTTTTTGGGTGGGGGGGGGAAAGGTGCCAGAACTCACACACACCCACTTTGCCTACCCTACAAGGTTCCATCCAAAAAAGGTGCCAGAACTATGTTCTGGGTGTTCTATGGCAAAAAAAGCCCTGCTTCTACCACTCATAAAGTAATTAAACAATCAAATTGTTAGTTACTTTGTGTGCTATATTTATTGATATTTGCAAAATAGCCTGCTGATTTTAAGTTATTTTTCCTATGGTCTCTATATCTGTTTTTGTGCTGACTTTAGGCCATGAGAAGGTGAAAGTCAAATCAAATAATGATAAGGTGACCAACTTTTTTACAATGAAAAGGAGGATACAAATAAATTGAAAAAAAAATATCGTAAATAAAAGAAACATTTTATTCATTGCAACAATAATACAGAATACGCTATAATATGATAAATGCATAATAAAAAACATTTGTAACAATAACATTTTATATTGTAAATATGCTTACATGCTGCACCCCCGCCCGCAGCCACCCCGCCAGCACTGCTGCCCCGCCGTGTAGAGCGGGCCCCATGGCTCCCAAAGCACCAGTGGTGCCAGCTCTGGCCCCGGGGGGGGCAGCCCGCTGTCGACACACCCCGCCTGCAACCACCCTGCCAGCACCACTGCCCACCCTGCACAGCCCCGTGTAGAGCAGGCCCTGCAGCTCTCATAGCACGGGGGCAGCCGACCACCGCCGCCCCTCACACCCCTGCCCGCAGCAGCCCCACCGTCCCTGCCTCTTGCGCCCACAGCCATTATTGCCCTAGCAGGGCCGAAGATCAAGTGATAGTTACTGTGGCATCGCTGCTCCAATCTCCTCCAGGTATCTTTGGGACTAACTAGGAGATGGTGTAGTTGGGTAGCAGGGAGGGGTGCAAAGTTCCTGCCAATTCGCCTTCACTACAGACAACTTACATGTGCAAAGTTTGCCAGCCGGGTATTTTGGCACACTCAGCAGCAATTCCTATTGGCTTTCGAAAGTTGAAAAAAAAAATCATCAAAAAAAGGTACCAGAAGTTGAAAAAAAAAACCATCAAAAAAAGTTGAAAAAAAAAACCATCAAAAAAAGGTACCAGAACGTCGTTCAGAGTGTTCTATGAGAAAAAAAAGCTCTGCAGATTAGTCTTCAAATATCAAAAAGGAGGACATGTAGGAGGACACTTTTTGAGGAAGGATAGAACTTAAAAAAGGAGGACTGTCCTCCCTAAAGGAGGACGGTTGGTCACCTTAATAATGAGAAATTCATCATTATTACCGACCCTTATTACCAGACAGATGCAGCTGATTTATCTTCGTCCTATTTCAAATGCTTTCCATTTGGTTTCTCTGTGTGTCTGTGTATATGCTTTGGGGAAAGAAGAGGGTATTTAGTAGAAATTCTTTCAGCTAATAAGAGATTGGCTAGAAACAGGATATCTGAAGTCTTGAATCTGAAGACCATCCTTCTTCAGTCTGGTGCCCCCAATAACTCATCGCTCCTCCCAGAATTTCCAGTCAAATGACTAGAAATGTTAAGAGAGACAGTCCCAACACAAGTAGAGGGCATCAGGTAAGAGAAATCTGTGGTAGACAACCTTTCAGGTTAGTTCCCAATCCTAATCCAAGCATCATTCCAAGGTAGAATAATGTGTTAGTTCACATTAATAGCATACATACAGATGAAAATTCCACCTATGACAGCATTTTATTTCCCATATCTGGCACTGTCAATTGCATTACTTCAATTACAATAGTTCATTAGCAAATCATAAAGATAATTCCTCTCTTTCTGAGGTACCACAACAATTGATATTCAGTGACATGTAGATCTGATTCACACACACTGAAGTAAGCTTTAATTTAACAATGGTTTATTAATAACATACAAAGCCATAAACCTTGACTTACAACAGGTCATGGGCATAAACTTTTTTAAAAACAATTCATTAACTATGGAATATAAATGTTTAACATGAAACATACTGTAAATGGGACAACTCCTACGCAAAAAAAGAAAAAAGTATTCCACAGTCTAAAAAACACAATTAGTTTTTAATATGACATTAAGTCAAAAACAAAATTTGAACGTTCAGTTGTCTGTAAGTTTGAATTTGGTATCAAAACTATCACTGAAAAATAGTTATTGCAACATTACTCATTCCCAATAGCTGCAAGACTTGCAGACAGAAGTAGTTGTGAAAGAGAACAATGACCCTAAATGTTCTCTGCTCAGTTCCTAATGTTCAACTGATAGTGCTGCTTCCCTACAATTCCAATAGGCAGACATGCCATGTCCATAGACTAAGTTGGCAAAATATAACCCACTATTTTCCAGATGCTTTAATCAAGTGTCACAATCACTTGTAAGTAGTAGGCTGGTTAGTATTAAAGTTTAAAATACATAGAAAACACCAGCCTAAATTGTTTCCACAAGGCCGAGGCTTGCCTGTCACAAGGTCAAACAACAGATTCACCTTACTCATAGCAAGCTTGGCTCATAAGCCTGTTCTTTTCAGTGTGAGGAAAAGGAAAAACTTGATGCAAGTGGGATTGGTTCTTCTCTTTTCAAATTGATTAATGGAAATAATATAAAGGATCAAGTACTGAAATACACATTATATTAAAATATTATGGAGCAGTATATAATTGTATTTTAAAATGTTTTAAACTATAATGTAATAAATTTAAAAAACTGATTTTATAGAAGATTGAATTTTTTTCAATTTAAAATACAGCTGGAAGGGACTCTGGAGGTCTTCTGGTCCAGCCCCCTAATCAAACAGGAGACCGGATACCATTTCAGATGAGTGGCTGTCCAGTCTCTTCTTAAAAACCTCATTATGAAGCACCCACAATTTCTGAAGGCAAGCTGTTCCACTGGTTAATTGTTCTTAGTGTTAGGAAATTTCCCCTTAATTCCAGGTTGCTTCTCCCCTTGATTAGTTTCCATCGTTTCTCATCCTGCCCTCTGATGCTTTCGAAGATAAGTTGACCCCCTCTTCTCTGTGGCAGCCCCTCAAATACTAGAATACTGCTATCATGTCACCCCTACTCCTTTTTTTCTGTAGATTACCCATACCCAAATCCTGCAACCACTCATGTTTTTGTCTCCAGGCCTTTAATCATCTTAGTTGGTCTTCTCTGCACTTTTTCCAAAGTCTCAGCATCTTTTTTGTAATGTGGTGACCAAAACTGGATACAATATTCCAGATGTGGGCTTACTAAGGCTTTATAAAGCGGTACTAATACTTCATACTTTATAATGAATTTTGTTAAGAAAGATGTTGACACTGGCTTATCACCTATGCTGGGAGTACAACCTTGGTTTTGGGAGAGGCAACCTGAGGCAAATTACTGCAGCTAAAACTTTGAAACCATATATATCACTTCTCTGTATTGTCTTCACATCATTGTGCAAGCAGCAATGGGCATAGGAAAACCAGATCAATGGAGATGCCAGCCCCTTAACTTCTTGGTATTCTAATAGGCAATGATAATTGAAAATAAGGATTCACTTTCATATGGTACACTCTTGAAATGTGACTTGGAGACAATGTGAAACAAGGATTGGGTATTAAGTGTGCATGTGCATGAAACATAGAAGCTACAATTCTGTATATTTTAAATGGAACTACAATATTCTATTAAACTTAGAGGGGCTTACATCAAAGTATATAGATGTAAGCTGGACCCGCATATCATAGACTGTTTTGTTTTGTTTTAGTGTGTTGTATACCTAGCTTGTTGGGACCCCCAATTTGGCCATTAAGTAAAGATATCACTAAGTGAAAAATCATGTGATTGCAATTGTACTTACAATTTTACACAGGACAATGCAAACTGATTATAATGGCAAATACATGATTGAGATACCGTAAAGATTGTAAATATGGGCAATGGTCCCAAAGTTACCTTTTCGGTAACATTGTAACTGCAGACATTGACTGAGGCAGTCACTAAGCAAGGAGTACTTATAGTTTGACACATTACTTAGACAAACCAGTTTAGTACTTTAGTTAAATGCTGTGCAAAACTATGTGCCACAATGCACCCAAGTATGCATGCAGCACCTAGTTTTGAATAATTAAAGTAAATGTGTGTTTTATGCACATTTGGAAACCACTCCCAACTGTCACCATATGTGGAATATATGTACACATACATAGAAACAGCTAGGAGCTACACTAATGCCGTTATGCAAATTGAAAAAGCTGCAGCTGCTTAAATAAGAGATCCTTCATACATGCCCATGGTTTTGAGTTACCTCTCTTGAAGTCAAATCAAGTTCTCTCCTTTCCTGTGGATAGAACAGCAACTTTAGAATTTCAGATAAAAAGTACACAAAAGGCCAAAAATTCTGACTCAAAGATTTAACAATCTGTAGTGTCACAGAATGCATGTTTTCCAGAAACTTATGGACAGCATACACTCAAGAACAATTGGATTTGGATAGCATGACTGCAGGACATCTTGGAAAAAACATAAAATGTAACATCAGCACTATAAGTAATCCATTGGTACTAATATATTTGTCTCATTAAATTAGAATCATCCATATCTCTTATTATCTCAATCTGGTCTTTAATAAATCTGAAGCAACTACTTGCTCAGGTCTAAGATGCAACTGTTTCCCACTATCAAATAAGTGGTTGTAAGGTACAAGATCAAGCTACATTGGCTCCACAAGTGCATGGTCACTGAGACTTCTAGTGAAGTACCTTAGAACACTTGTTTGCCAACCTCAGCAACTGTTAAGATGTGTGGATTTCAATTCCTAGAATTCCCCAGCCAGCACAAGGTTGATAAATATTGCCTTAAAAAGCTCCCTTCTTAAACGTAATGAATAAACAAACAATTATAGATGGAAAATGGTACGAACACTATTACAGTCCACGCTGGTCTTTTCTCCCTTTTCTCCCCTTTCCTAGTTCTTTCTTAGCAGGTGCATATTTAGCAACCCTCAATTCTTGAAAGATCCACATTTTTCTTTGAAATCCAGATGCCTGAGATATTCCCATTTCAAAATTATATATTTAGATGTTATTTCCTTCCAAAGCTGCTGCTCAGTATTGGCAAATCTGGGAAAGTTTGGGAGGGGTGCTCCACCTTTGTCTACTGTGTTTGTATACTACTTCCCCATACCAATACACCCTGAGAAAGGGAATACTTTTATGAATAAGTCTTTGAAGTTTTCAAAGGATCACGTTATGAATAAACTTTCATCTTGAAAGCGCAACGTAGATTTTAGGATAGAACCATAAATGGAGTCCTAGGAGTGCATAGGGGAACAAGTAACATATGGGCGATGGCATTATCATAGAAATTTCATGGCTTGCATATTGTGTCAGAGATCAGGATGCAAGTACTAATATTTGTACATTAACATTTTCTTGCACATTTTGTCATTTTGGTGTCACCACCATTTGCTTTAAGTGCTCCATAATGAAACAATAAAATTAAATCAAGAAATGTGAAAAATATTGCGGTGATTTAGATTCGGAGTTCAAGAACTTGAATGAATATTTAAGCACTGAGTATCTTTAAATGAAAAGAAGGTAACTATCCCCATCTGTTTTTAACAGCTTCTTCCAATTAATTCATCCAGATAAGGAGAGGAATGATTTCACTTTATAACACGTTTCTTTAAAAGAATATTGTCCTCTGCATCAGTGAAGCCAAACATTTATACACATACACCACCATTCATTTCTCACTCTCTGCAGCAGTTCTTTTGTATCAGTAAACACAGGAACTTTCCCTCCTACTAAATGGACGCAGCATAGCATTCATCAATTTAGTCAGTAGTGTGGATGTAAACAGGGACCGCCAGCATGGCACATGGACTCTCAGAGCCAGGCTGCAATTCTGTCAGAGAAAGGTTGGGTGAGATGCCAGAATGCTGGCCAGGGTTGTCAGTGTCTGAATTTGCTGCTGATCTGCCAACCACAATGGATAGAACAGTGTCAGGTTCAGAAAATTGTTCTTTATTAGGACCACTTTTTTGAAGGCTCTCTCCACCTGTAGTGTCTTTGAGTTCTGTGAAAGCCAACTGTGCTGAAAGAGGAAGCCCCACTTTCCGCCCACGTGCCCCCCACTTCTTCTGAGATTTTCTGACTGCCAATTCTTTATCCTTTGATGAGTTCAGCCTACATTTGTGGTCCTTCATGTACTTCTGGCGGGTAAAACCTTTGCTACATGTAGGGCAACGGTACTTATAGTTGCCAGTGTGAGAACGCTGATGTTCCATCATATGAGCTCGTCGGCTGAAGGCTTTGTTACAGTATTGGCACTTGTGGATCTTCATACCTAAAAATGAAAGAATGCAGCAAACAGCTTTGATATAAAAAGTTTCTGAAGGCCTCATCTAAACCCAATTAATAATTTTGTGGGTGAAGCCAGATCTGAATCTAAAGTTTATGGCACACTTTCTTAGTGACTCTGCATCAGTTCTACATACAATTCTATATAATTACATTGGTGATATAAACCATATTTTATATAGGAAACTATGCAAACTCAGCTACTTTAAATAGATATGATTTATTGAAGGTTTTGCTATCTTTGGCTTTTGTGAATAAATTCCAGCATAACAATTCAATGTGGAATCGTTAATTCAGTCCCAATGGTAGCTAGAATTGAATTTATTTGATTCAAAGCTCAAAAAGGGAAATCATAAATTGTTAGGACTGAATTGCACTGCTTCTAATCTTCACTGAAGTTGAGAAACAAAATATAAAATGCTTTATTAATATTCAATATATTAATTATAATTATTTTCAGTACTGATCCAAATCAAAGCAATAATTCTACATACCTGAATGGGACAAAATATGAGCTTTCAGTTTGTCCGGTCTATTGAACTCTTTACTGCAGCCTGTATGATTTCTGAATAACAAAATAAAAATAAGCTATGCAGAGAGGAACTTCTAAGATTATTCATTTATTAAAATATCTGTACAATCATCCCTCTTTGAACAGATAATTCTTTTTCACTAAAACAAAGATCGTCATCTTAGCAGAAGCAAGTTTAAATTATCAAACCTTTTGCTATAGCAAGAAAGAAGTGTTGAGTTCTTGGTGCTTTCTGAGCTTGGTTATTTCCTTGCACACATTTTATTTTCATGCTATGTAACATCATCAATACAAAAGACAAGTTGTTTTATATATACGGATAGTCCTTGTTTAGCAACCACAATTGGGATTGGCAACTCAGTCATTAAGTAAAGTGATTGCTAAGTGAAATCATGACTCTGCTTATGATCTTACTTCAGCTTTACTTTGCTTTACAGACCTCCAAAGGTCGTAAATGTGAGGATTACTTGTAAAATTTTTTTCATCACTGTCATAACTGCGAATGGTTGTTGAACAAGGACTTTATGTAGTAGTTTGCTATTTTCCCTCACAATGATGTTACCTTGTGCACCGAAAGAGCACAAAGAATCCTACAGTTTTACTCTGAGTTACTTATTTTCTCTTCTGCTACAAGAATGAAGTCCCTACGCAGTGATGGAAAGAATTTTGTTCCATTTCTTTTTTACAATATTTTTGAAAATTACCCTATGAAAAAACAACAAAAAATAACTGCATATTGGTCCTTAATTAAAGAGGTAGAAAGAATAAAAGACTATCAAAGTGAACAATCTACCTCCAAGCAAGGTTGCTACTTTATTGCACAATTTAAGAAAGTCAAAGTCACCCAATAAAGCCAGGAATGAGAAGAAGTAGAGAAGTCAGACAAAGCAGAATTTAACAGAAACAATATTTTCAATATAATGAGAGCTTTGGGATGGTAGGTCTACATGAGACTACAGACAAACTACAGGTCTATGGTTAAATGTGAGATGATGTGCGATAGGGCCACCTGGGAGCACCTTACAACAGCATGGACCACCCACATAAACCACAATTTTTTTCAACTTAGTCTTCCTTTCATTTTAAAACTGGTTTTCAGTGTAATAACTCAATGTGTGTCCAGGGCTTTGTTTTAAACAAGTAACCTTGGTACAAAACACTTAACCCTGCTATACCCAAACTATGCACAGATGTATTACGGGATACTATTTAATAAATGGAGCTGTTAGTGAGAATGTCACAACCCACAAGCTGGAACCACTGGGAGGTGCTATGAACTGAGAAAGTTTGGGAACTTCTGATTTAGCCAACCTCAATCAATAAAAATAAGGCAATTCCATCTCCTTTATATGCATTTGTTCAAAAAGCTGCTAATTATTTGCATCATTTTATTTTTCAAAACCTAAGCAATCCAATATGAAGCTAGTGTTGCTGTGGGCCCTCTGATACTTACGAGAATGGACATTTATATTTCTTGAAAGGCTCATGGATCAGCATATGCCGTTTGAGTTTATCTTTCCTGTTGAAGGCTGAGTCACACACTGAACACTTAAAAGGCTTTTCACCTGCACAGGAAAGAGGTATGAATTCAGCAATAAATGGGTTTGGTTAAAAAGCATTCTAATAAGTCATTTTCTATTCCTGGGTAACAGAAACATGATTAAATAGAATTGGGATTAGTTCCCCAAGACCTTTCCTGTCTCTGATGTATTGCTTCTAATAGATGCTTGTATGTTTAACATATATTCAAATGGTTCCAATCAAAATAGTGATCCATCAGACAGAAATTAAGAATATTGTTAAGAGAACACAATTTTTCAAACAGGGAAGCAAAACTCAACAAACGTAAGGTATCAACGACCACTGAAGATGATGACAGGAGAACCTTAAAACATGAAGAGGTTCAACAGATTGGAAACCGATTTCTGCCATTTCTTACCCGAATGAATGTGTGCGTGTAATTTGAGGTAGTGTTCTCGGCGGAAGAACTTTTTGCAGATCTGGCACTTAAATTTACCTCCTCCTCCGTGTGTAGGGAGATGCCTTCGCAAGTACCTCTCACAGGGAAACACCTATTAAAAAAGGGCAATGTCATTAAAACACTGGTTAAGGTCATTTAGAAGGGTAGTAATATCAGTCAGACCAGGAGGGGGCACTATTTTGTGGCTACAGTTTACTCTTAATATTTTTTTGAGAAACTGACACTAAAAAGTGAATGGGGAGGTCACATCTCAAATAAGGGCAAGATGGAATTTTAGAAAATTTCAGGATTATCTTCACTTTCAGGATTATCTTCACTTTTCAACATGGAAAGCTTTATTTTAGGGGCTTTATTTTAGGGGTTTTCATCTATTTCTCGGTTCAAGAAATAGACACTAATTGATAGCAGGATACCTTCATTGCTTTTCATCAGTAATGGTTAGATGGATGCTCTGAGGGCTTCAAGGGCTCTTTTTGGTCCAGGGTCTACAGACTAGCTACTTTTTCCTTAAGGAAATGGGTATGTATAACAAATCTATACAGTAAAAGTCTAAAGTAGATGAGACAAAGACTTTACTAACCTAAATCAAGTGAACTTTAAAAAAAAAACAACCTCTGTGTCAGGTAATGAGTCACAGAACAGTATGTTGTGCAAAGGAGAAGATAATTTTGACAACTCAGGTGCTGGCATTCCAGTAGCATCCTCTTCAGTACAGATGGTACAACTCAACGGGATGTAATGTGTATCCACTATACAAAAGTGTGAAAACATAAGCTATCTTGGGCAAGACTCCCTTTTCTCATTCTAAAGCCTGAGAAACAAACTATGAAATAAACATGAAAGTATAAAGGGACAAAATTTTGCTATTCTAGGTGCTTAAATCATAGAATCACTTATTTTCCAGAAAATCAATTTACTTGTCTACCTTCTGACAATGAGGACAGGGGAAGTTGTGTGTTGCTGTCTGTAAGTGATGCTCCAGGGCTTCTGGCGTGGAATATTTATTTACACATTTGACACACCTGAAGAAAAAGAAAGAAAGAAAGAAAGAAAGAAAGAAAGAAAGAAAGAAGGAGGGAGGGAGGGAGGGAGGGAGGGAGGGAGGGAGGGAAAGAAAGAAAGAAAGAAAGAAAGAGGGAGGGAGGGAGAGAGAGAGAGAGAGAGAGAGAAAGAAAGAAAGAAAGAAAGAAAGAAAGAAAGAAAGAAAGAAAGAAAGAAAGAAAGAAAGAAAGAGAGAAAGAAAGAAAGAAAGAAAGAAAGAAATTAGTATGGCTGAAGTCTGCAGGCTAGCTATAGTTTCCTTACCCATATGCATTTGCAAAAAGCATTGTCAAAGAGGAAAGCACTTAAGAGATCCTTGAAGCAAATAAAGGCTTAAAAATTAACTAAATAATTGCCTGAAGTCTGGGTTCAAAATTGTCAGATTTACCTGCAAAAGAGTGAAAGCTTATGGAATGGATTCTGAGGAAGAACCTATTTATCTTATACCTCTGGTATGCCATAAATAGAAAAAAATAATCTCTACATAAATATAAATGAATTAAATTTTCTTAACTCTAGCACAGTAGTGGCAAACCTATGACATGCGTGCCAGAGGCGGCACTCAGAGCCCTCTCTGTGGGCACACACACATTGCCCCAGACCCACCCCCCCACAGCCCCCTCCCCAGCAGCCCCCCTGGAGGAGAGTCGCCCCTGAGCGCAACCCATGTGGAGCAGCGCAGCCAAGGACATGGCAGCTGGGCAGCGGGGACCAGACTTCTCCCTTGCATCCATCGCGCGCAGTTGATGCTGCGGGGCGCGGGCGGAGGGCATGGCTGCCATGGCACTGCTGGGCCCCCTGGATGTTCTGTGGTGGGCCGTGGAGGCGGTGGGTGGCCCTGTGGGAGGGCGGTTCGGGGGATGATGGGGGCTAATTTTGGGGCACTCGGTCTCTAAAAGGTTCGCCATCACTGCTCTAGCAGGTTATACTCTCACAGTGGGGGGTTGATTTTGTTACTTTTTTAAAGAAAGGAAAGTACAAAATCATTCAACAGCAAATCCGCAACACTGACTGCTCTCCCAACTGCAGTTTAAATGATTGCCCGATATTGACTGTTCTCCCAAACAGATTAAAAATATTACTATTTGCAGTGCTACCGTACTTGTAAACTGCCATGTCCTTCTTGGGGCTGTGTTGAGGGAGCAAGCTGTGGGAATATTGATGGACACCCAATTCATACAGAGAAGGATAGTCCTTGCTGCAGAGGTGGCAACGATAGCTCAGCTCTTCCTGGTGGTTCTTGATATGCTCCAAGAAAGAGTCCAGCTTCTGAAATGTCTGGGCACAACTTTTCACAACGCATTTGTACACCTGCACATTAATGGTAAGAAAAGAGAATTTAAATCGGCATTATCCTGTACCACCAAAAGCAAACAAGCTATACTGTACTCTCAGCATTAAATATATAAATGTAATTAAAGGTTCTTGTGAGATTGATGTACCCACTCACCGTGAAATCTATGTACTATGTCTCTAGACAATGAATTTTAAGAGTAATTAACTTAACTTTTCTTCCAGCCAGCCTCTCCCAGAAGTTAGCAGTGAACCATTCAATTCTTCCTTATGGAGAAAAATACAAAGCTATTTTCCTGCGGAGGTTACACATTATGTCACTGCACGAGATTTGCCTCCAGATTGCCTCCTTCCAATAAGGAAACAAGGACATGGGCTGATACCATCTAGCTTAGAATAGTTTCTACACAAGCAATGGCTCTCTAGAATTTTGAGCAGAATTTTTGTTCTCTATCTCCTTAGAAATTCTAAGAATGAAAACTAGAATGTCCTGCAAGCAAAACATAGGTCCTGAGCAATGACTTACTGAATATACTCAGAATAATAATTCATGCACACAAAAATGGAATTGTATGGTTCTTACACGGTGGAAAAATAAGAAGGTAGTATAACTGAAAAATGTATTTCAACTATCAGAGATCTGTGAATTAGGTTCCATGGAATTGCTTGTATTGTTATCTAGAATATATTGTGTTATCTATTCAATACATATTTCTAACGCTAAGTTAAAATATGCATAGGAGGAAATTCCTATGCTGGATCAATGTGTCAAGAATACAGTTTGCATGTATATAAATCACAATTTCCATACCTAGCATCAAAGAGCCTTTGTCAATCAGTGAGAAGCCAATTAAACTTTTCACAGAGCATTTTATATTTTAAACTGTATAGGCTAAAGAAAAAATAGCTGGCAAAATAGCCAACATTCTGCATGTGAGTTTTGTAACCTATATAGATTGTGTAAATTTGGAAGTATGCATGCATTGGTCTCCAACTCATGGAAAAGTGATAAAAAGCTAGGTATGACAGAATGAAGCTATCTCATGATAAACTATCTACCTGTTCATGTTTATGCTGAGTCATGTGTGATTTCAGCTGGAAATATGTATTAAATTTGTTGGGACAGAACTGGCACTGATAAGAACTGTCTATCAAGACCACTTGCTTGGCTTCCAACTTCGCAGCGTCATGTTCTTCCCCAGGAGGCAGAGCTTGAGGATGTGGAGGACTGCTTCTTGGAGCATGGTTTAAGCCTGAAGGAAAAGATACAGAACACAGAAATAGTAGTTTCAGTTTCAAGCATTTTAAGAGAAATAAGCATTTCAAAAAGATTACAAACAAGATCAGCAAAATAGAATTAATATAAATCATTTTCCCAAGATGAAAAACCATGGAAATTAGATTTCCTTCTTTGTGTGTCTTTGTATTTCATTCCTCATTATAACTGAGGATAAAACCTATGCTCAATTTCACTTTACAGTGAGGAGAACTCCTGTCACCAATGTTACATATTATATCCAGCATTGGAGGGATATGCTTGACAATGCCAGCTGCTAAAGAACACTAGATAAGGACTTTACTGTACTTGTGAACTCTTTTCAGGTGGCCCACTGATACCTATTTCATCGCTGTGGGAATAAATTGTGGACCAGATTCTATGTTTTTAAAGTACTCCTCTCATATTCTCAAGGAATGAACAACTTAGCCCTTGGTAAAGTATTTACACTTGTTATGTAGGCACAGGAGATTAAAGTAGAACAAATATTCTCTACCACATAAGTTGATTTGGCACTGTCAGGCTTGTTTTGTCGTGTAAGTTCCAGCTTTTGCCTTGGTGAGCCCAATTATAACTTAAAACAGTTTGGCCCTTACCAATCTCAATCAGAATAGAGCTGGAGAAGACCTTGGAGGTCTTCTAGTCCAGCGCCCTGCTCAAGCAGGAGTTCCTATATCATTTCAGACAAGTGGCTGTCCAGTCCCTTCTTAAAAACCTTGAGTGATGAAACATCCACAACGCCTGAAGGCAAGCTCTTTCACTAGTTCATTGTCCTCACTGTTAGGAAGTTTCTCCTTAATTCCAGGTTACTTTTCTCCTTGATTAGTTTCCATCCATTTTTTTCTTGTCTTGACTTCTGGTGCTTTGGAAAATAAATGGATCCCCTCCACCTTGTGGCAGCCTCTCAGATACTGGAATACTGCTATCACGTCACCTCTAATCCTCCTTTTCTCTAGACTGGCCATTCCCAAATCCTGCAACCGTTCTTCATATGTTTTAGTCTCCAGGCCTTTAATCATCTTAGTTGCTCTTCTTTGCACTTTTTCCAAAGTCTCAACATCTTTTTTGTAATGTGGTGACCAAAACTGGATGCAGTATTCCAGATGTGGGCTTACTAAGGCTTTATAAAGCGGTACTAATACTTCACGTGATTTTGATTCTATGCCTCTGTTTATACAACCAAGGATTGTATTAGTTTTTTTGGCTGCTGCCACACACTGCTGGCTCACGTTTAAGTTATCATCCACCAGGACTCCAAAGTCCCTCTAACAGTTAATGTTTTTGAGCTAGGTTTTGCTATTCGGTACTTGTACCTTTGGTTTTTCCTGCCCAGGTATAAAACCTTGCTTTTCTCCACATTAAATATCATTTTGCTGGATAGGGCCCATTGTTCAAGTCTATCAAGACCTTTTTGGATTCTGAACTTGTCTTCTGGGGTGTTGGCTATTCTTCTTCTCATTGCCTATCAACCAGTTGGTATGTACAACTCAGGAAACAATCTTAGCCCAAGCAGTTACATTTACACAATATGCAAAAGGATTGATGTGCATGGATCATTGTAATTTCTTATGATCATCCAGAGACAGTAACAGAGATGTTCAGGAAGTGAGCGATACTACATCCAAGCATTAGATGCACAGCCTCTGTTTCAGGAATATATTTAATGTGGGCTTTCCAATTTGTTGCTCTCCAGATTCCAATTCTCATAATTACTAACCAACATCATCTTCAGTTGGAGAAGGCCTATCTAATGCAAAGCAATTATATCTAAAGGGTCATTTGGATATTCTCTTCTTGAGGATAGATGATAGATTTTTAATATACATCTAATTTTAAGTTTAGACTATAGAAGGGAAAAATCAGTATTACAGATTCCAGAAGTGAAGAAAAAATTTGCAAAAGGATTAAGAATTACAAGACTATGAAATAATATTAAATGAAGGGCTATGACTGAGCAAGATCATCAACCGTATATCTGATTTATAGATTCACATGCTAGTACATACTTAAACCAACAGTAGCCATAGTTATTTTTCTAACCCTAAATCTATAAAACGGAATAATAGAATAATAGAAGCACTATTATTCAGAGGTTTGGTGAAGCAGGTCCATATGATTGGCCATTCAAGTAGTTAATAATGCACCTGCATTTTCCTCATCCTCCTGCTGGTTGGGGTTGAGTTGCATGACTTGCACAGTGACAGAGCTCCGAGAGATGGTACACCCAATTCCTGGTGGCCACACCTTATGTGTCTGCATGTGCTTCTTCACATTGGATTTTTGCGCAAAAGCTCGACCACACACAATGCACTGGAATGGCTTCTCCCCGGTATGACTGAAGGAAAAATAGACACTACGTCAGAGAACAGGAATCACAATACCTCAACAGAGAGAAAACATATTACTAGTGCACTCGACTACAATCTTCACTGTTGTGGCTTCAGTCTGTTTTAGGATGTTTCCTCTCTCAGCATTCAGGGAGGAGACACAATCTTCTAAGTGAGCAAGTTAATCTATCATTTATGTATTTCATTTACTTTAACTCCCTGTATCCTTTAATACTGAACTTTTAATACCGAACAATTTTCCAGCTGGCTTATAACTACAATTAACTTGCATTCCAAACTGCATATAGATAGGTATTTGCATGATTGGAAGGCTCCTTCACAAGCAACTTTTCTTACACAAGCAACTTACACATAAGAACCTTATCCCTTCAGGGAGGATAGATAAAAGACGTTGTTTTGAGATGTATTTTTCCATGTGACAAGAATCTGCCTGGGGAAACATGAAATCATACTAACTCTCATCTGCAGCCTAAAATGGTACACCTCTGTCTCTCTCCTACTATAGTTCAGAGTTATGGGTCAAGCAGGCCATAATGGTTTATCCAATAATAATAAAACAAATCCTGCCTTAAAATTATGTGCAAAATGTTGTTATCACTTGAGACTCTGGAAGACCTGGTGGTTCAGCAATCAGGACCAAGATTAAGTTTCACACATACACCATAAAGAGACCAGTGTTCAACATTTGGGGGATCACACTGACCAAGCAGAGAGATGGCTTTATTTTCCATAGCTCTTGCCAGCAAGTAAGAATGGCTCCAATTGTTGCTCAGAATATCCAATCAAGTCCTTGGCCTGTCCAAACAGACACTGCTTCTGTCCGATTTTGGAAGCTCAACACTACCTCCTGATATGTTGCTGCAGATCAAAATTCTTGGTGAAGGCTTTATCACAGTATGTACATTTCAGTTTTGGTGACTTGGGCTTTCCTGAAATGCAAACAGCAAAAAACAAGCATGAATTTATGTCAAAAAAGACCATCCTGTTATGGATTCTTGTTTGTTTGTCCATTCTACCCATCAAACTAGAATTAAGTTTGAGGAAGGGAAGTGCAGCAGGGATTTTGAGTACATTGCCTTATGGGAAGAACAGAACGAAAATAGTGGAAAAATCAAACAAAATAACCTTATGTGGGAGGAATGTAAAACCATTATTTGCATTTTCTGTTATCATGGGACTTCCTGCTTTACATCTTGTGTTTACACCACATTAATTCAGATTGCATTCAGGAAAAGAGCTGCAACATTGGCTTCTCCTACCTATACTGGATTTTTCATATTTTCTTATGTCATGGGAATGGCAGTGCAACATTTCCTACAACATCAGAACAATAGCTCGGCTTTCATGGGTTACAATGTTGTAGTCATCCATATTAGTGGATTACAATGAACGCACTGAAAAGTTAATACTGAACCAATAGTCCAATAATGTGCAATACAAAATGACGCCGAAAAACATAAATTTCTTGAGGTTTAAATGTGATTTCCTACAGGAACACAGATTTCTATTTTATAAATTTATAGCGACATCTATTCAACTTGATTTGTTAATTTGTTAATCAAAAAGAAAAACAAAAACCCTGTCCTAAAAATAACCTGAATAATAAAATGAGCCCATTCAAGCATATCTGTTAGTTCCTTCTTTATAATGAAAACACAACAGCTACATAATGTTTGTGAACTTTATGAAATATGAAATGTTTCACATTCCTATACCATCCAAAATATTTTTCATATTTTATTACATCTTCCAAATAAAGACAGTTTGCATATCGATTAGAGGCTAATGATGTGAATCTTTTATTTCACACGTTTCAGCAATGAATAGGAAATAATACATTAACAATTTTTCTATAGTTATAAAACAATGTGTTCTCGGGATTCTAATAACCAGTGTTTGGGTTAGATGCCCTTCCAGAAGTTTATGGATTAAATGTTTATCATCCTCAATTATTATTATTATGTTAGCTTTGGGGTACAAGAATCACAGTCCAGGATTATATGGAGGATCATAGATTTCCCTTAACAATATGTCACCCAAGTCTTCCAGTGTCATGGACTCCACATTCTGTCTTCCTTAAATGTAATTAAGACTACAGCAAGAATGAGTACCAAGAAGATTTACCTTCAAGCAAGTTATTGTCTGGTTTGGAATGACGGTTCTTGGAAGCAGAATCAAAATTGGTCAGATTTCCTCCGCATGTATTATTCAAGGAAGCAGCAGCATTAGCACTTTTAGACTTAAAGCTTTGTTTGCTTGGATTATATACTGGAGGGGAAGGATACACTGGGTTTTCCACACATTGGCTGGGCACCTGAAACAGAAGTCAGTGATAACGTATCTGACAGAAAAATATAAATACAGGTAATCCTCAACTTACAACAGTTCATTTAAACAGACCATTCTAAGTTACAACAGCACTGAACAAAGTGACTTATGACCATTTTTCACATTTACAACCTTTCCAGCATCCCCATGATCATGGGATCAAAATTCAGATGCTTGGCAACTGTTTCATACTTATCACCGTTCCTGTGTCCCAAGGTCATGTGATCACCTTCTGCGACTTTCTGACAAAGCACAGTCAATAGGGAAGCCAGATTCACTTAACAACCGTGTGACTAATTTAACAACTGAAGTGATTCATTTAACAACTGTGACAAGAAAGGTCATACAATGGGCCAAAACTCACTTAACAAGTGTCTCACTTAACAACAGAAATTTTGGGCTTAATTGTGATCGTAGGTCGAGGACTGCCTGTAATTCAAAGCTCCGTCATTTCTGATTCAGCATTCTGACAACCATGACTTTCCAACCATCACACAGAAGAGAAATAGGCTGTCTTGACTTCCATTGCCAGCTCAAAGCTTGGAAGTAGGAAGCAAAGCAAAGTTCTGTTGCTTACAGGTGAAAACAACAAACTCCTGCACTGCTTATACATTTGCATCGTCTTCTAGTATGGCCATGTGGAGAAACTGGTGCTAACCCTGTTTTTAACTAACTATAATTTGCTATTTTGGATAAACATTGACAAACCTTAAATATAGTTACAGTAGTTAACATAAGTCAGTACCAGTTGCTTATTAAATTTAACTGCAGTTAGGTTTCAGATATCCTACCAATCTTGCCAAATGTGGAGAGCTTCCTCTGTGGTTAAAACATCACTTTCATTTCTTCTATATTATTTTTTTCTAATTATACACAATCTAGATTTTCTAATCTATAATCTAATTGTAGTCTACAATCTAATAGTTATGACCATTTAAATACAATTTCTGAATAAGAGCCTTCTGAAATTTCTTATTCAGCCTCAATACTGAGTCTGTACAGTAAATCTGTAAGCTCTATCTCTTGAAAGTCAGATTCTTTAATACCTGACTTAGCTTTGGCATTCCAGGACACATTGTTAAATTTATTTATGTTAAGTATTATTATCTTACTTCTCTATTCAACAATCATTCAAACGTCCATGGACAAATTTCTACGACACATGTAGGTCAATATATAATATTCCTCCTTCTGGTCATGTGCAGTCCAGCAGACTATATTTAAATAATACTTATCTCTCAGTTTAGACAATCTGTATAGAACATAAATAAATTTCTTTCTTTCGGAGACTGGGAACTATTTCACAACCATTTTCCTTAGGAAGAAAATTATTATTATCTATTATAATATAACCTTGTGCATTTAGCTATGCCACTTTCTGAAAACCAACAAAAATGGTATTTTGAGGCTGAGTAAAATCAGAGTCAGTATCATTTTACCAAGGCCCATGAGATCATGTAATTATCACAAGGGAGACCATAATCACTAAGACAGGCAACCATTTTTACCTCCAAAGGCGGATATGGCTGCATCCCCAGATTCTGTATTTCTACCGTCCCATTTCCAGACATGGAAGTAGATGTATTGTAGACTTCTGCTACTCCACTGCTACCTGCATTGGCTGGGCCTGGCACTCCAAGGGTTCGAGGTTGTGGAGGGGGTGGCTGAGGGGGTGGAGGGGGGGGTGGAGGCTGAGAGAGGTATCCTGCGCCAGGATGCATATTCAAGCTGCTCTAAAAACAAAAATCAGAAATTAGTCTTCCTTCCTTCCTTCCCTTCCCTTCCCTTCCTCTCTTTGGTCCATGAATATGAACAATATTTTCAAGAAGATTTTAAGCTTCCTTCTATAACCAGTATCAATATCCATGTATTTCTGCATACTAGCAAAATAAAACTGTCATGATAAAGTTCATGGATATGCAAATCATAGTTTACATTTATTTAATAATATAGGGGTCTCTTCTAAGGAACAACTGTATCCATTTACATTTTCAACATAATAATATTATTACATCAAAGAAACTGAACCACAAAGATAAAAAATGCCTCAAGTCAAGGTCAACCCCTGCTCGAGAGAGAGAGAGAGAGAGAGAGAGAGAGAGAGAGAGAGAGAGAGAGAGAGAGAGAGAGAGAGAGAGAGAGAGAGAGAGAGAGAGACAGAGACAGACAGACAGACTGTATAGATATAGATTTTTAACACAATCCTATGAATGAATGAATGGTGAATGCATGGATGGTTTAAAATATGTCCATTTAATTTGATGTGGGTGCTTGCCCTGTGCTTCAAATTATATTTTGCCCTTCAGATTGCTGTCCAGTCCTACTACACAATATTATGCATATGGTATGTTGTCATCAGACATTAAACAATGTATTTATTAATTTTTGTTCTTATAGCATATTCCATTTGTCAGAGCTTGTGTATGCCTTAAATGGCACAGAAAAAAAAAATTACCTGCACAGTGGGTTGCACTGTGGACATTGGCTGGTCCAGGGTTGTGAAAGCAGACATGGCTGACATCAAAACCTCATCGCTCACTAAGATATTCCCTTGGACTAGTGTTTGGATCAAAGGAGAGGGTGGAACAGTAATATATGTAGAGATCTGCTGAGCAAAATGGATAAAATAAAATCTTATATTGGATATTAGGCAAGACATTTTTCAGAAAATTCTTGGGGATGACATACAAACAAAGTAAAACAACTCATTCAGCGTAACTACTCCCTGTAAGAAATTATGTAGTAAAAGTCAAAATTTTGTGAATAAACCTCTTCAGTATTAATTATGTAGCATGGCAAAAAGGGTAAAACATTGCTCAGCTAGCAATTAAGTCATTAAACAGGAGGAAATCTGGTTTTTATTTCAAATATGCTATTGCAGCCTTCCCAAACTTAAACTCTAACCCATTCTAGATGTTACACCAGCTTGAACTCGGCTACCTCCACTGCCAATCCCCTTACTGAGTCCGCTACCTCTGTTTTACATCACTACAGTCCCCAACTCCTGGGCCGTGGCCCACTACCGGGATGCAACCTGTTTGAAACAGGGCCGCACAAGCGGCGGGCGAGCATGCATGTACATGCATGCCTGCCACTCACACAGAACCATCCCCTCTTCTCCCCCTCCCCACCAGTCTGCCAAGCCAAAAAGGTTGGGGTCCATTGCTCTTAACGTAATCGATGACAACCAATAACAGGTTTTAAACATGCTGAGACTGACTTTGGAATATAAGAGGAAACACTTGCATATTTAGTACACAGGTATAACTGATGACCCAGCCACAAAAAGCTCCAGCATTCAGCATCTCTACCTGACGATTGGTGGTCTGAGCCTGCTGTACTGAGGTAATGGACGGGGTATAAACACTGTTAGTAGCTAAGGAAACTGTAGCCAGTGAAGGGGCATGGCCTTGACACTGTTCCCGCTTATGAGTCATGAATGCTGGCAACGAGTTGAATTGCTTCTTACATTTCCCACAGAGAAATACATCTTCGTCATCTGAAATCAGGGAAAGAAAAATATATTTATTTAACCTCAAAGACTTCCTCCGAAGAAGACGCCAAATTTCAGCAGAACAAAGTGATGAGAAATTATTAACTAAAAATTGACCCGCTGGAGTTAGGAGAATCCTTAGCTTTCTCACAGCACATCCCATCTGATGTCCCCAATGTGTGACTATTCATTTAGCAAATATTCAAAGTTATGACGGTGCTGGGAAAAAAGTGGCTTACAATCCATTCCTTGCACTTACAACTGCTGCACTGTCCCCACAGTCTCATGGTTGCAATTTGGACGCTTGGCAACAAACATGTCTTAGTGGCATTGCAGCATCTGGGGAAGTCAGCAGGGAAAGTTGGCAATCATGTGCTGTCTCACTTAAGTATCATAGCATGAAAAGACTGTTTCAGAAAAGGCTACACTCCCCAAAATAGTCAAATTTGTAGACTGGACATCCTTTTAGATTCATCTCTATCACTACAGGCTCAGGCACACATAATGCCTTTCATTGGCCAAAATTGGTACAATAGCTATGATCCTACTAAAATATAGTCTCATATCAATAAACCATGCTTGGTTAATCTCTCATCTAGATTGCCATAATCCATTATATATTGGATTGTCTCTGAAAACCATCCAGAAACTTCAGTTATCATCAAATTTGGCAGTAAGAGTACTGAATGGAATTGGATATTATAACCATATTATACCAGCTTTATGCCATCTTTACTTGGTCTCAATTTTTTTCTGATTGCAGTTGAAGAGATAAATATTAATCTCTAAGGTCCTGCATGGTATTTGAACAGAACTCCAACTGGTATGATTTTAGCCATACATGATGCCTGAATGTGGCAGGTAATTTCTCAGATGTGGGCCTTCTCAGTGCTAATCCTCCAACTCTGAAATGCTCTAGAGCCTATTTTATTGTCAACACTATGCAATAACCTTTTTAATTGTCACAGGTCTTTATGATAGCATATTATAATACTATGAACTACTCAGAACCTTTTTGGAATTGAATAGCATATAAATTGCAGAAATAAATTTGAATTGGATATGCTACACAGACATTATTTAATAGTGTATTTTTAATTATGTTTTTATATAATGTCTTTGTGTTTGTTTTTAAAACAATTGCTAATTGTCCTGGGAAAACAGTATCAGCAAGCATATATGTCTATTTAAAAAAATAAAGGTATAGTGAGAACAAAACCAAATAAAGTGATATCTTATGCTAAATGAATTTATGTTAATGGCAACAAGGTGATAATACATAGCAAATTAACTTCCCTACTACAATTTTTTGCACAGCTAGTGAATATAAAATGGTTTCATTAATATTGTTTCAGGATTATATAACTCTTTGAATACAAGGGATAAAGAATAAAGTAGTAGTGCATGCATACACTCACAGACACACTGGAACCAATTACTGTGTTACTGCACATCACAAGAAGCAACAAAGAAGTCCCAATGCAAGACTCACCCATGGACTGGATAGAAGAAGATGTGTTGACTGTCTGTGATGATGGATCTGTAACACCTCCTTGGCCATCTAACAAGGACTGAACAGCTAGCACTGTCTGATTATCCATTCCTGGAAGGAATAGAAATGGCAATCAGAAAATCTGTATTCCTTCCAGGGACAAAAATTATGAAAAATTGACTGTGATAAAACCTATTTCGGCACATTAACTTCCATGTTATTTCCAGTTTTCTTACAATGTAGGGATCTTTATTAACTCAAGTACTGTATTTAATCAATTCAGATCACAAACATATTTATTATGTTTACAATCGTCTGGTCACACAAACACACACACTCCATTACTTGACAAAATTGCCACGTTTTTACATTCGATTAGGTAGGCTCTTCTTTCTCTTCCTGGTTCCAAGGTGCCACTCTGGGCTTTCAGGAACCTGGCCTTACAGCTCAGTTCTTTTTTCTTTTATCTTTGTGAAAGTTTGATGGCTTTTAACTACTGTAATACAGTTTGAAACTGCAAATTAGCCAATATCTTAATAACATCATGCTTCAAGATAATATAGGAGACTGTAGTAAAATAATCCCTAATTCCACTCCTCCCCCCCCCTCCTCCTCCTCCTCCCTCCATAATCTGTAGTAATTACCTCTCTTGTCATGTAAGCTCTTTCTCATCACCTTCAACAAAAGTATCTTGATTATAATGTTGGTATAAATATTATGAATGTATTTTAAATACACTAAATGCTTTTCCAGAATGAAACTGTATTTGGGTTAACTATAGTTGGAAAGGAGCTGTAAATTCATACATAAGTTATATGTGATGTATATGCAAGTGTTCAGACAAGAAAATTTGTCATAATCCTCCTAAACAAAAGGTGAAGATCCAGAAAAAAGGAACCTTAGTTACTTTCTATTCTACCAGATAGAGATTTGGCATATGTATGTGTTATATATTAGTGCCACGTAGAAAGGTTTTGACATTTTGCTATCAACTGGCCGTCAGTTTGATCAAAAGGAAATTACCACTGATATTTTTTAAAAGATAGTGGAAGCAGTAGTCTCTGCTAGCTCAAAGAACAAAATAAATTCAGAGGGAGAAAATCAAAATGAGCCCTTGAATCCTGAGAATTAGATAGAAAAATTGCCTCAAAAATTTCTTTTTTAAAGAAGATAATTTTAAGAACATCATTAAGACAGACTTTGAAATAGCTTGAGTGTATCTTGTGTCCAATATTATTACTAGCTATTCTAAGCCTCAAAGATGCACTTAGTAAAGAGACAAGATTTCCAATAAAGTGAAGCAGCACTTTCAGTTCTTAAATTGTCGATGTTGAGGTAACATATTTTTTTCAAGTTGAGACAGGCCTCATATCAAACTGTTCCAAAATAAGAATGTTTTCCACAGATCCAATCATTGTTTGGATAGTGGTTTATTCTTTGGTACTAATTTAATCAATGGTTTGTGTCAGATTTCACTATACAGAACATGGAACCACCACTTTCAAACCTAAAAGTGACAAGGAGTTTTTATAGATCAGAGTATGGGATCTAGTAATTGTTTCTTTTTAAACAATACTTAAAGGATTAGCACACTTTTCTGAAAGACTTGTGATATGACAGCCCACTAAAACTGTTTCACTGCTGTAATATCACATGCCAATCAATGGTTGAATTTACTTGTCAGACTAGTTCTGGCTTATGTTTCAATGGCCTGAGCAATAGGGCCTAGTAAATAAACAATAATTAAAAGAAATTACTGTTCAACACAACATACAAAACCTTGGGTTTCTTCCAAACATGATACAATTGCTGTTTTAGAGCATTTTCAGAAGACCTAATAAATTTCAGTGGCTGCATTCACACAACAATGAAAACAAAACCTAAACTAGCCACATTAGTCGGTCCTTAGATGTGTAAATCATGTAACCAATAGATGTTCTTTTAAATTATATAACATTGTGAAAAGGATCCAGTTGGTCAAAATAGACACGGAGCTGCATTAAACAGATTGCTGATCCAACTCATCAGGGATTATTCTTCTTAAACATTCAGTTTTTACAGAAGCATACCGTATCTTGAAGTTTGATGCAGTTAGGGGGAAAGAATGTAATTTGCAACCAGGAAACATTTTCAATTTTGACTGGCCACTGCAGGTAGCAACTGCATTTGCATTTGTAAAAAAATAGCTTTAGCGGCAGCGGTTTTCACAAATGTACGTGCCCAGACTTTAATGGCACACTAATAACTACGATGCAATTCTTCCAGGGAACGGTGGCGATGTTACACAAGCTGCATTATTTAAGAATCTAGCAAAGGCACCTTTAGAGGTAAAAGGGACTCTTACATAGAGAAAATTAAAGCAACAAATGCCCTTTGAGGGGAACTTGCAAAAGCGGAGGTAGCAATGAAAGAGCCACCGTCCCTTCTTCCTTTGGGAACAATTTCCAGGAGGACCCGAGCCGCCTGCTTGCTTTCCGTCCCTTGCTAAGATTTGGCTCCTCCGGGATTTATCGGGCGAAACAAACCCACGTATGCAGATCGCCGGATGGTACGATTACGCTCCAAGACAGACACTGAACAGTGGCTGTTCCATGAACCCTCCCTCAGCGCCAGAGATGGCATAGGGCGGCACCGCCGCCTTCTTAGCCCCCGTCCCATCCACAACGGCGGGAGGGAGGCGCCCAGCGTGGAATAGCCGCGCTTTTTTTTTTTTTTAAATGGACTTTCCCCGCCGCGAGGCCTCAACCCGCCCGGCTCCCCGAGATATACCTTCCAGCGCCTCGAATATCGCCTGCGCCATCTTGAAGCTGAGGCAGCCACAACAGAACAACTTAAACGGGCATTATGGGAAGACGAAGGAGGGTCGTTCCTCCGCTAGGGGGAGCGCGAGGCGACGAGGTGGGGAGGGGAGGCTGGCTCAGGGAATAGCCTTGCTGTGGGGAAGCCGATACCTAGTTGGAAGGGGCGGAGCTTCCTGGCCGTAGTGTTGACAAGAGGGGTTACTGCTGTGGTGTCCCAATCTGTGAGTCGGCTTCTTCAGGGAGGGAAGGAACCGAAATTATATTTTAATTTATATAGAAGAAATATCAGAGTTTCTTCAGGAACCCCTAGAGCAAAAAGAAGAACAAAGGAAAAACTGCATTTTGAAAACTGAGCTTAGAGACACCCTTGCTCTTTGTCTGGGTTGGCTAGAGGAAAAGTTGCATTTTAATAGGATTTCCCAAGGCTGGACCATCTGTCCAGATTTTGAGGACTTCCATGCCTCTTCATCCATCCTCCTTTTTGCATCATCTTGCGTGACTCATACATTTGGAGAACCTGAAAGTTCCTATGATGTTTTATACTTTTTTACCTTTACCTTTTATATTAGTCCTAATAAAGGTATTATTCAACTATGGACTTGGATGTGCATTCAGCAGGACCTATGTGTAGCCTAAAGGTTATTGCAGAAGAACATAATATTGGGTGGTTATGTATTTTGTTTAATGTTCAGACTCAGCCACCAAAGGCAGGTGTAGAGTAATAGAGTTGTGTTGCCGCTTTCTGCCAGACATTTAGCCACAACCAAAACTCCCTTTCATTATGGGTGTAATTTTCTGAAAGCATCCAGAACATGTTCCCAAAATTTCAGAAATGCTCACCAACCCTAAATGATGCTTACCAGCCTAGCTTTCAGCCATGGAATTCATGATATTTCAGAACCACTGTAAGACAATATTCAAGTTCCACTTGCCTCAACAATGGCATCTGTCAGAAGGGAGCCAGCCCTGAAAAGAAATCCAAGAGTTAAGGAGCAATGGGAAAACTATCTTTGTGAATAACACTGATGAGAATCAGAAAGCAGATTAAATTCCTTCCAGAAAATAGTAATACACCTTATCGAAGCAAAGACTACATTTTGATGTCGCAGTTGGCATGACTTATTAATAAATAACATATTGACCCAGCAGCAACTATTAATGTCTTTGTGATCTATCAGAGGAAAGGCCAACACAATGATCTCTCTTGACTTAAATCCATAAAGTAATTCAGCCTTATGATCAAGAGATCCTAGGAAATTCAGTAAATCGGTGTAGGATTTGTGTTTTGTCCAATCTATACTCCATTTTTTTCCTCCAGCCTTTCTCTATAATGCCTTTTGACTAATTGTGCTAAAAAAAAACTTTTCATCAGATTGATTAATTTATCAACTAATGGAGGTTAATCCACTGGGGGCACTCCTAACTTGGAAGGAATTTAGGGAATCACTCTATCATGTCAAAACACATTTTGCTTGGAAAGCTTTCTCAAGCCAACATCAAAGGATTCCACTTGTTCGCCACAAATACTGGATTGGCAGGAAAAGCAGTTTAATTAATATTCTATTTTCATATAAACTACCTGTTTACTTTTAACACCATCTTGTTTAAAGGGTGGAAATGAAATGCATAAATTAAAAACCAGGAAATAAAAGTAAATTATAAAGCAAAAAAGGGGAATTTGTGTTGTTTTTCATTCATGTTATCTCTAGTAAAATAATATTTTTTAAAAAATGCTACAAATAAAAATATGAAAACATTAAAAAGGAAGTCTCTGGAATTAACTAAGCCACTGGTTAATTTCATGGAGAAAAAATCAGGAGTCTAGTAGCACCATTTCCACCATTTTTTTTTTTTATTAAAAGTCATAACACACTTCCATATAGTTTTCTGTATTGTTGCAATTTGGTCTGGCTCTTAAACGACCAACTTCACGCTTTCTTTTAAAGACGCAGGCATAGAGAGAAGCTGTTTCCGCTTGAATAGCCGGGAAAAGAAGAGTTATAATTATAGGACGGTACATTTTGCTTTCTCTATAATTTAAGACTCAAGTCTTCTGGTGAGCTTATAAAACTAGGGCGGAACCAAAGTTCGGGGGTTGGTTTTCCGCTTGAACATTATTTCCTGAAGCTCTGCTTCTATGCCTTTTGTGTTTCAGTCAAGTTGTTTTCCCAGATTGACCGGCTGCTGTAAACGTCAAGTCTGAGGCAATGGATGATCGGACAATTCTCAAGACTTTGCTTTATACCGTCAATTCTCTCTTGCAGCAGCGGAGATATCAGACTACGCTGGCGCTGCTCAAGGGCTTCCGCAACGGAGCGGTGTAAGTTTGAACTGGGAGCCCTGCTTCTTCCGCATTTCTGTTCCGAAATGATCGCCGAAGGGTCCTCTTGGTATCACGGACGAGCGTTTACACCGATTTCACGAAGACTTTAGCGGGAGGAAGCAGATTTTTGTTTATAAGTGTTAAGTGACGTTTTGTATGGGCAAATATAAGGTTTTAATCTAAGGGCGGGTTCTCCTAATCTTCTGTAAATAATGTTTCAAAGTATAGACATAAGCTAGGTTAAATGACCGATCAGACTGTCAGCCTGGGGTAATTTAAATAGTTTAAAGTGGCCCTGGCTATTTAGATCTCAGAACATTTGCTTCTTCTGCTTTATCGGCATTTCATTTCGGTCGTCTTCAAGAAGTATTACTAACAAAGTGATAATATATCTGCTATTAGATTGAGTTTTCATTTCTTTTTAGAGGACAGTATTGGTTCAGTATATACTATATTATGCTAAAGCTAAAACGTCGGAGAAGGTATAAATGCACAGAACAACAGTGAGCTTAGGTGATGCCTTCTAAGGTCTGGGTACACCTGGATTTCATTTTTAATCATTCATACTTAATGCTTACAGATAAATCCTTTTTTGTTTTCTTCTTGTATAGATGTCTCCAAACTCCATTCGTTCAACTATCATTCTAATAAAGCAATTGTTATTCTATACATTGTTTAGTGGTTACCTATCTCAGCTCCTGTAACATTGTGCTAGATATTTTAAAATCAATTCTGGTGTTAAGAGTGAAGTTTCTTTTCTAGTGGGTGGAACTTTGAAACAAACTCTGTGGTTCTCTTATGAACAAGATTATCTTCCTGTTCTTGGCTGTTTTTATATTTTCAAAGCATTAAATATTATTTCCCCAATAATAATAATGATTATTCAAAGAAGGGAAAAGTGAGGAAGAGGTTTCAGAATATCAAGAATATTGCTTTAGTGGTACACTAAATCTGAGTATTCAGATTTATATGCCTTAGGCAAGCATATTAAGTCTTTCGGTATAGAACAAACCCAACCTGTTTGTGCAATTTATATCTCAATATACATGGCAAAGGAATTGTGAAAGATACTATTTATCATCCAAGACCTGTATTCCCATATTCTGCTGTTTCCAAATTACATAAAGCAATAATTGCATTTAAACATATATTAAACCTCATTTTACTGACAATTTTATGCATTTTCTTTATTTTTGGCAGTTATGGAGTAAAAATCCGTGCCCCTCATGCTTTGGTAATGACATTTCTCTTCAAAAGTGGAAGGTACATTTCTCAGAGCATCTGTCACATACAGAATAAAGCCACTGAAGTTGAAGTTATTTGTGTGCATGCTGTTTAAAATACAGGTAGTCCTTCACTTATGACCATTAGTTTAGCGACATTACTGGAAACAGTGACTTATAACTGGTATTCTTATAACCGTCACAGCCACTTACAACCATCCCCACACTCCCATGATCAAAACTTGGGTGTTTGGCAACCAACATGTATTTATGATGGTTGCAGTGTCCCAGGGTTATTTGACTGTCATTTGCAATCTTCATTTGCAGAAGCCGGCTTCCAACAAGCAAAGTCAATGGGGGAAGTGGCTTCACTTAACAACCGTATGAGTCACTTAACAAGTGCAGTGGTTTGCTTAACAACTGTGGCAAAAAAGTCATAAAATTGGGCATGACTCAAGAAGCACCCTGTTTAGCAATGGAAATTATGATCTCAATTGTGACTGTAAGTTAAGAGCTACCTGTAGTCTTCCAGTACACATTATGTTTTCTTCTCTGCATTCTTACTATTTCTGTTTGGATGTTTTTCAATAATTAAATATATTAGGACAGAAAAAGAAGCGATTGTCTTGTATTACATTAATAATACTCTTCGTATTTTTTTTACTTAAATAAGACTATTAGTAATATATTTAATACTGTTATGTGGATCCATAGAAACAATATTTTCTAGGAAATCAAGGTGGGTTTATGATAGTACAATTTTGCATATATCGTGTTTCCCTGAAAATAAGACTGGGTCTTGTATTAATTTTTGCTTCAAAAGATGTATTAGGGCAGCGGTTCTCAACGTTTGTGTGACGACGACCCCCGTCACACAAACGTTATGCGCATGCGCGGTGCGGCGCGCACGGGGGCAGGCCCCCCCATGCGCGCCGCCCCATGCGTGGCGCATGCGCAGTGGCGCCCCCGTGCGCGCCGCGCATGCACGACACCGCCCCCGGAGGCGTGGCGGCGCCCCCATGCCCAGCGCGCATGCGCGGCGGCGCCCCCGGAGGGGAGAAAATGGCGGATCGCCACCTTTGGCGACCCCCGAAAAATGGTCGATCGACCCCAAATGGGGTCGCGACCCATAGGTTGAGAACCGCTGTATTAGGGCTTATTTTCCAGTTAGGGCTTATATTCGGGGAAATACAGTACTAAATGCATCTGTATGGCTGACTATCTTAACTGGGGGTTATTTTGGGGGTGAGGCTAATATTACCAGCATCCTGAAAAATCATGCTAGGGCTTATTTTCCAGTTGGGTCTTATTTTCGGGGAAACATGGTATATTCGCAAGCAAGTTTCATTATGTCCAATGCAGTTTATGCTGCTATCCTATCAGCCCTTAATGTAGAAGTAACACTGCAATCTTATCCATTGTTAATGTGACTCTGTAGTTGAAGACTCATTAATTTATAGATGTTCTCCTGAATAAATGTAATAGAATTGAGCTAGTAGATATCAGTTTGAATTTCCTTCTTTGAATTTTTTTAATAATTTTAACAATCTTACAGTCATGTCAGATTTAGCTTCACTGCCATTCTTTGCATGTTAATTTACAAACTATAAATGTTTTTAAAAGTGCCACAAACTATAAAAAATTGACTACATCTCTAAATTGACTAGAAAACACATTCATGCTCTTTTTATTAGAAACAGGTTCACTTACGTAGCTTTAGTTTTCTAATATTTTCTGAAAGTGAAATGAAGATCATTGTTACTTTTTAATGTACATCAGAAGCAATGACCAATAAATATTATAACTGATTTATAATATTTTAATGGAAATAACATGTGTAATAATTGTTCACTGTTTCTTCCCTTCAGCCTAAAGGAAAAATTGAAAGCAATTCTTCAAGCTACCTATCTTCATTCCAGAACCCTGGCCTGTTTTGTATTCATTTATAAGGGTTTAATGGCCATGCAGTCACGAATGCAAGGAAAGAAGGTTCCATTTCAGTCTTTCCTCGCAGCCTTCATTGGGGGCTGGTTACTGTTTGGGGAAAATAATAATATTAACAGCCAGGTAAGCAACTGTGTTGTTCTGTGTTAGATTTATGGTTCTATTGATCTAATGAAGAATGAAAGGGAAATTAGGGAATGTTAGTAAATTGTTCCATCACATTCTTCCATCATTATTTTCTATATATCTGCTGCAAATGGAGTAGTGAATTTATCTGAATACAATTCTGCATTTTTCTTTCACTGTAGCAAATTGTAAGAAAGGGATTAGTAATCATAATTTGTTAAATTTGTATGCTGCCCAATTCTCAATTACTCTGGATGGATCACAATCCAGAGAACATTAATACAAGAACATTAATAAAAGATAGAAGGCAGCAAGTAGAAAGAAGTGAGGGGTCTTACTTTCCTGTGCCAAAAGCTTGGGTAAAGAGCCAAGGCTCCACAGCTCTTATAAAGAATAATAGACTGGGGTCCCTTTGGGTCTTGGGGACAACCTTATTCTTATAAAGGATATCTGCTATCTATTTGATAACCACACTCAGTGAAGATTTTAAGAAAAGGAAGTATTGTTATTCAAATGGTAAACCCATTTAGATAAGCATATTTCTTCTAGGAGGAAAACCTTTTATTTGGTAAGTTACAATCGATACTTCACAGTGATAGATAATTGTAGAAGAAGAATGCCTATCCATGTTGATTTTTCACTCTGAAATTAAAAAAAAAAATCCAGGTATAATTTAGATGCTTTTTAGGAAATGTATTTTTCACACAAATGCATTTCTTTTGAAACCAGTCTTCATGCAACTGGGAAAGGATTGATTTACACCTGATTTTTCTAATATTAGATTTAGGAATAGATGTAAATTGTTGCTGAACCTTATTAAAATTCAAGCAGTCTGGTTAAAATTAGAGACTGATTTTGATATGAAAGAATTTGATGATCTCCTAAATTGAAAGTTGTTTAAGTAATCTGATTTTCTTGTTGGGCTAATTACCTAATTTTAATTCAGGGTTTTTTTTTTCTGAACAGATAAATATGTATCTATTATCTCGAATCCTGTTTGGCTTGTCTCGATTGGCAGTAGAGAAAGGTTATATCCCACAGCCCAAACAAGATCCCTTCCCACTTTTTACTGCTCTGGTTTGGGGGATTGTTCTTTGGCTCTTTGAGTATCACCGGCACACTCTACAACCATCACTGCAATCATCCATGACCTACCTATATGATGACAGTAATGTTTGGCATGATATTTCTGACTTCCTTATACATAATAAAAGATCTACTATCAAATAATCCTGACAAGTCTTTGGATAATAACACATTCCAAGGGCAATTAAAAAGATATATATCTGAACATCCTTTTCAATACTGAACATTTATTTATATTAACATTGGATAGAAATGCCTGTTTGAAGTCTGTCCACAATGTTTGGTATAGATTGCTGATTTCTGCTGATTAGAGTTTGAAACAGCATTTTACAAGCAAAATATTTTATTCCTTTTTTCTTCAAGATACCCAGTTTCCCCTTCTATGCTATCAGCTGAGGAAAATATCTCTTCATTTTTTTAAAATCAAGAAATATGAATTAAATGTTAAAGTTGAAGGATCAGATGACATGAGTACACAATGTCATCTACAATATCTTCAGCAACAAAAGAAATAACTAAATTTTATGCATGATGGATATCATTTGATATTGGTCTTTGTAGTTATGGTTCTTGGTAGTGTTATTGCTTCTGTTTTGTTTATCCATGCCTCTTTTCTAGATTATAAGGGCAGATAACATATCAAACAAATTTTAAAGATGCTTTTTTTAATATGGACTTTTTAAATTCAGTTGCATAAATATGACACAAAAATGGATTTGTTTAAGAACACCATCTTACAAAATACTTAAGATTTAGTAACATTAACAAATAGAGAAAAATGAAATTTTATTTCTTGGGTTTCTAAAACAAAACAAGAGTAAATAGTATGGTGAACATAGGAAGGGTGTCAAATAGGTTATTCTTGTGAAATCCTGTGTTATGATGTGTATAGGGGGAAAGACAGTGAATACTAAAAAACTTTTCCTTGATTGAAGCTCTTCTAGATGGAAAATGATGCAGTCATGCATAGCTAGAACTGTTGTTGTAGTTGTCAAACTTTGATCATACAGTCAACAGGTAGAATTTTGTTTAACAATCCACCAAAAGTGCCAAATGGAATATTAGATTTTATCTCATTGTTTTATTAATGAATGCAGATAACTGTATTGAGTCTTTTTAAATTTATTTATTTATTATTATTTATATAGTCACCTGACTCGCACATAGTGACTCTAGGCAGTGTATAACTTTAAAAATCCACATTTTTTTTTTTAAAAAAAACCACCCTAGTGCAGCAACAACAGAATCAGAAAAGCCATTTGACTGGGGGTCCCCCAGGCCGCTGACAAAACATGTCTTCATGTAGAAAAGCAACAGGGTAGAGGCCAATCTTATCTCTGGAGGAATGATGTTCCAAATATTTATAGTCCAATCATGTGAACTGACTAAAGCTAGCCTTCTTTGGTCTTTTCCAGTCTTGTACATATGCACAGAAAAGCAATGTGGATTTTTTTATTTTAAAAGAACAAAAAATGGGACTTATAGATGAAATAGAAGATCTTGCGAAATTCATTTGCATAGCAAGCATAGATCTCCCAAAATGTTAATTTATTTTCATAATTTCATTTCTGTATCATGAATACTACACTCAGTGGCTTCATGCACTGCATGGGTGTACACACACACACACACACACACACACACTCTACTGCTACTAAAAAGCAATGAGGGTAGTGAAGAATCTGTTTTTAAACCCAATTAAACAAATTGAAGCAGTTTTTTTTAACTGAAGAAAATAAATGTACTTTTGTATGTGCTGGAGTATTATTTGAAACAGGATGCTTAATAGACCTTTTTGTTAAAAAAACAAAATAAGACTGATTATAAGGCATTAAAATTATTGGTTCTGCTGTTGCCTGAGTTTTGATTTATTGTTGAAAACTTGCTTATGGTAACACACACACACACACACACATATTGTAGCTAAGGAAGTTTTGTATTTAATTTATAGGACTATAATACTGCTGTGGCTTGTTAATTCTTTTATTACATTTTGCTTTGCTTTTTAATATATTTGTTACCTTGCACCATTAAGTGTATAATAATCAGATAATCTGTGGAAATCTGTTGCCTTCTTTCTGAATTCCTCCCATATAAATGTTTGAAAGCCACCATACCAAAATCACTATCACATCATGTTTTATGTTCAAAGGAATAAATACCAATCTGCTTCAGAATATTATTGATATTTCAGGCAATGTCTGCCCTAAGCTTTTATTGGTTCTCTTCTCATATTGTTTTCATGCAATGACACCTGCTGCCTTCTCCCTAAACAATGGGCAGTATTTCTTCTGAAAGTTGAAGGATCAGCATAATTTTTAACTAGTACTTCAGATAGATTTTAGATTTGTCTGTGTTTCTTTTGGGCTTTCTTTCTTTCTTTCTTAATTTCTTTCTTTCTTTCTTTCTTTCTTTCTTTCTTTCTTTCTTTCTTTCTTTCTTTCTTTCTTTCTTTCTTTCTTTCTTTCTTCATATTATTTAAGACCCTGTCTGAACTGAGAAAGCACAGGACTGTAAAGCAAATCATATGTGATCACTCCACTACTGTTCCTATAGCTTACAGAAGAGGTCGAATCCCTTCTGCCACTAATGTGACTGAACAATGCTGGTGTGTGCTAGGGAAGTGAACTAGAAGTAATGGGTCGGTCCAAAGACTCTTGGATACATAAGTTCCATTCCTCACTCTTTCAAATTGTATTGTTTAGCAAGCTAAGCATTCTGTTTGGTTTTCATGCTAATAAGAAAGAAACACAAAAAGAATAAGGCGACCGTTTGAAAATCCAGCTCCAGGCAGCCTGTTCCATCAAAATTAACCAAGTACCCACTATCTCGGCCCTGAAGATCAAAACAGATGCATATCTGAATTGTGTTAAAAGCACTCAGCAGAGGTTTTACACTGAGGACGGTTTAACAGGAGATCTTGATTCTTGATCTGAGAAAATATTCATCCTTAATACGCCCTGATGTTATTAGGCTTGAAAAGTGTTTCCAAAAAATAATAAAATAATACAAAAAGTATCAATGCTATATTGATACTATATAAATTAAATACATTCTTTATATTATATAAACTTGATGAAATAGATCTAGAAATGCTGTAGAAAAAAATGCCTTTTTTTTAAAAAAAAATAAGTAAACGAGGAAGATTGGAATAAGTCATTATCCTAATTTGAATAGGAAAGTACAATACCCTACATAAGTAGTGGTGAACATATGGCATGCGTGCCAGAGGCAGCACTCTGAGCCCTTTCTGTGGGCACACGTGCCGTTGCCCCAGCCTCACCTCCCCCCATGACCTCATCCTCACCGGCAGCCCCCTGGAGAAGAGTCACCCTCTAATGTGACCCACACGGAGCAGTGAAGCCAAGGACATGGCAGCCAGGCAGCATGGACAAGACTCTGCCCTCACGCCTCATTGCGCACAGTTGATGCTGCAGGGGGGTGGGCAGAGGGCATGGCTGCCATGGCGCTGCTGGGTTGTCTGGGCAATCTGCGGCGGGCCCTGGAGCCGGTGAGTGGCCCTGTGGGCAGGTGGGGTGGGGGGCAGGGGACGTTGCAGGGAGTAGAGCGGAGGCAGGGCCAGTTTTTGGGCACTCGGTCTCTAAAAGGTTCGCCAACACTGCCCTATATAATTCAAAGGTAGTCCACAATAAGGCTTTCTCCTATCAGTGTTTATACTTAATTATTTATAAAAACAACTTAATATAAGCTCCCTAACATGTTTGTGGATCTTAATTGATATTGTAGATGCAGAGTCTCAAACAGCATTAACTAATGGAACAAATCATTTAACAGTATAAAGCTGTGGTGGCGAACCTATGGCATGCGTGCCACAAGCGGCACGCGGAGCTGTGTCTGGTGGCATGCAAGCCATTGCTGGGCCGAGCTGCTCCCTCTTCCTCTCTGCACATGCGCAGTCTGGGAATAGGTGAGAGGCTATAAAAGGAGCAACTTTCTGCGGAAGCAGCATTTGCTGCAGACAGCTTGAGAGCGAGCATGAGTCAGACCGGACAGTGAGCGAGCAAGCAAGCCGACTGCTTGGTGGCCACACCCACTCGGTGGCCACATCCACCCGGCACCCGGCGATGCATAAGTGGGTTTTGGGTTGCAGTTTGGGCACTCAGTCTCTAAAAGGTTCACCACCACTGGTATAAAGAATGTATAAGTACTGTTTTGTTAATAATAGAACTTTCCTGTGGGTGTCATGAAAGTTACTTCTTATAGGTTTTTTTTTAACCCTTCATATTGGCAACAGCAAATGGCCACTTTATGTGCATTCCTGAATTTAAAGCGTGTTGGAAAATATTCATGTGTTTTTTATGATAATAGATTTTTGCCCCATTCACTGGAAATGTCTCTTCTATTTTTTGTTCCCTGGTTTCATATGGGTAGGCTATCATGTACAAAGTTATTTTAAAAATATAATTTCCAATATATGCTTTTTTTAGGCTGTTGTAATCTAATCATATTTTTGTATCGTAGAAACATTAAATGGCTATACAGTACAGGCAGTCAGCTTACAACCACAATTGAGCACAGAAGTTATGTTGGTGAGTTTTGCCCCACTTTACAACTTTTCTTGCCATATTTGTTAAGTGAATCACTGCAGTTGCTAAATTAGTAACATAGTTGTTAAGTAAATCTGGTTTCCCCATTGACTTTGCTTGTCAGAAGATTGCAAAAGGTGATCACATGACCACGGGACATTGCAATCATCTTACTTCACAGAACAGATTATTTTCTTGTGTGTAGGTTATCCAGGATGTTATCTAGTTATTGTCTTCTTCTCTTGCAATAAAACAAGACTGGTCACATTTTGTGTGGCAAGTACATTTTAAAAAATAATCTTGGCTGTAAAAAGATACTGCTTTATTGTATATTTAAAACAACATTTTATGTTATATTCATACATCAAGCTATATAAAATCTGGTTTACTTGATTTTGGTTTAGTGCAATGTATGAACATGGCCACTGTGGTTTATAAACATGGTGCATGCTTGGCAACTTTAAGATATATAGATTTCAAATTATGGCTGGCTTAGGAATTCTGGGAGTTGAAGTCCCCATACAGAGAGTCCTTGACTTAAGACCATAACTGGGAAGAGAATTTCTATTATTAAGCATGTTGACTATAAGCCACCTAGAGTTGCCTCTAGGCAAGATGGGCAACATAGAAGTTTAATAATTAAATCAATAAGCAAGGAAGGAAGCTGTTAAATGAGTGACACCCAATTTTATAGCCTTTTTTTGTCAATGAATCATTGCAGTTGTTAAGTGAATCACACTGCTGTTAAGCAAATCCAGCTTTCCTGTTGACTTTATTTGTCAACAGGAAGGTCACAAATGGTGATTATTGGACCCCAAGACAATGCAACTGTTATAAATACATGCCAGTTGCCAAGTGCCTGAATTTTGATCACGTGACTGTGGGGATGCTACAATTGATATAAGTGTGAGGACTGATGATAAGTCACTTCTTTCAATGTTGCTGTAACTTCAAATGGTTGCTAATTAAATTATTGTAAGTCAAGGACTACTTATATCTTAAAGTTGCCAAGATTAAGAAATGTTGATCTAATGCAATATGTAAACAGCTAGTGACTTGCTCAGTTTACCTAAGACACAGGTCGGCAACCTGCAGCTCCGGAGCCGCATGCGGCTCTTTGAGCCTTCCCCTGTGGCTCCCAGCCTCCTCTGCCTTTGCAGAGAGAGACAGAGACAGAGAGAGGCAGTTGCGCTTCCCTGCTTTTCTCTCTCTCTCTCTCTCTCTCTCACTCACTCACTCTGTGTGTGTGTGTGTGTTTGTGTGTGTATGTGTAAAAGAGAGTGCACTCATAGTGTTCTCCGAGGAGCTGAAAAGCTTACTGGGCGGACCTCCTCCCTTTGCTGCGTCTCTGCAGGAAGCAGGAAGGGCAGGAGAGAGCTAGCTAGCCCAGTTAGGCTGACTCAGGAATTCTGGGAGTTGAAGTCCATGAGTCATAAAAGAGACGAGGTTGCCTACCCCTGGGTTGTTGGACAACAGCTTGAAGCTTGCCAGGTGAGCAGCAGATAGGAGGGGGGGAGAAAGAGAGAGGGAGGGAGAGAGAGAGAGAGAGAGAGAGGAAATAGAGAGAGAAAGAAAGAGAGTGGGGGAAGAGGAGTGGCAGACCAAGGGCAGATAGAGAGGGAGGGAGAGAGACACACAGAGAGAGAGAGAGACCCTTTTGACATCTAAAATGAAGATAACACTGCAAATATCCTTTTTTTACCTATGTAATTTTATTCTCTTAAAGCATTCTCTTGGTAATCATTGTTTTAATAGTATGGATATTCCCAAAAGTCATATTTTTATTTTTATTTTTAATGTGTATGTGTGTGTGCGTGTGCGTGTGCGTGTATACACACACACACACACACATACATACATATGTAGGTCAGAAAACAAATATATACATATATATATACATACATACACACACACACAAACACACACACACACCTATAATAAAGGTAAAAAAGGATATATGCAGTGTTATCTTAATTTTAGATATCAAAAGGATTTTGCGGCTCCCGGTGTTTTGTTTTTGGTGGGAAACGGGTCCAAGTGGCTCTTTGAGTGTTTTGGGTTGCCTGCCCCTGACCTAAGAAGAAAGACTTAATGTAACTTTAACCAATGTAATAGAACAATAAGTTAAATAGGCACTTTTGTTTGATATCAGAGTGGTGTGTATTAATTATAAATTATTTGCTTTAAGTTCTTTTCTGTGCAATTCATGTTTATTTTTTATTTTTAACTGTCCTTTTATAGTAGGGGTCTTCAATCTTGGCCCTTTTATGATTTGTGGACTTCAACTCCCAGCACACCTGGCTGAGG